TGAAAAGATAGCGTTTTCTTCTGTCCTTTTCTCAATACGTATTTCAATGTTTAATACCGTAAAATAGTACATGAAAATTCAAATTTTCACAAACTTCAAAACGCTACAGAATATTTACTACTGAATATTAATAAGATATTTTTTTACTAAAATTTTTCTTAAATTCTACTCTACAAAATAGCTATCTTAGATTTTTTTTTTACATTTTATTTAAAATTTAAAAATAATTAATATTTTTAATAAAATGTAAAAAAATTAAATATTGAGATATTGCTATAGACCTAACGTCTAACTAATATTTAAAAAAAAAAATCAGCTAAAAATATTAACTGGATCAAAAGTTATTTAAGTTGTCAGTGAGTGGTGGGCCACCGTGTATATTAAAACAGATGAATTTTTTTTTTTAATTCAGATTTAAATTCAATTTTATTAGAGTATATAAGACTCAATAAGATTTCGTGTGGTATGATTTTCATGAATATCTGATGAGAAACCTAAATATAAGAATGGTTTGAAGAAGACTACTATGTGAAATTGGTCGACAAAGCATAACAATAACTTTATTTTCAATTAAGTAAACTTAATTAAGTAAGAAATTCTAAAATTAAAAATATACAAATTATGAAATTAAAAGATTCGCATCGAAGATTTTTTTACAATAGTTTATATTAGCTCTCTTAGATATCATCTATACTTTTCATAACTATGTCTTGACTCCACTTTGCTAGATTTTTATTATTTAAATAGACGCCAATTATTTTTATTAGTTTTTCAGTTATATTTAGGTAATATTACTTTACCTTTAAAAAATCTAAAATACGTCCAGGTAGTGATAACCATGTTTACATGATGGTATACATGCAGAAATGACACGTGTGATTGTTTTTTCCTTAACACGAAAAATACCTGAAATTAAACAAGATATTTTTTTGTATTACTTTATTCAGTGTATATAATTTTTAAATTGTACATTAATATCTAGAAAGCAACTGAAAAATATTTATGTTAACTGCCAAAAGACTTTTGTAATTTTATAACATTACGTTAACCACTATGTAATAAAAAATATATATTTTTGTAATGAATCTTGTGTTTCTTTACTGTCTTGAAAATAATTTTTAGGGACCTTAGCCTTTTGATTTTGCATATTAAAAATCAGCGTTTTGTTTTTAAAATCTATAAACTATAAAATACTTACGTATTTAATACTTAAGTAAAAAACAAGTTACATAGTGTTGGGCCAGATATAACGAGTGAGGGCCGCCCCGAAGCAATGCCTAACGGCAGTTCCGGGGCTGTCCACATCATGTCGAAAAGGAGGAGGAAAAAAAAAAAAAGATATAACAAGTGAGAAAATTCATTAACATTTACTATAAAATGATTCTTTTATTATGATGTAATATCATTTTTTATTGTGCAGATAATATTATTCTATGGGGGTAAAAACGTTTAAAAAAATTAGATTATTAAAAATGATGTTTTTTTGGTCTAATGTATATTACTTAAATTGTCTGTCAAAAATTACTTACCGTATCAATGAGATCTGATATTTTGGATACCACAAAATGCCATGAATAAATATAAAACTGAAAAAGTACATAATAATTGTTAGTACTCTTATTTTTTATAATGCTAAATACAATTTTTGATGATTGTTAAATTTCTTTTATTGGAAATTTGTTGTAATTCGAGACCTCTAATCATAGGTGTAATGGTAATGTTCATTAGTTCATTCTTGATACAAGTTTATACAGAGTACCCACCACTCACTGACAACTTAAAAAACTTTTGATCCAGTTAATATTTTTAGTTGATTTTTTTTTAAATAATAGTTATACGTTAGGTCTATAGCTATATCTCAATAATTAATTTTTTTACATTTTATTAAAAATATTAATTATTTTTAAATTTTAAATAAAATGTAAAAAAAAAATCTAAGATAGCCATTTTGTAGAGTAGAATTTAAGAAAAATTTTAGTAAAAAAATATCTTATTAATATTCAGTAGTAAATATTCTGTAGCGTTTTGAAGTTTGTGAAAATTTGAATTTTCATGTACTATTTTACGGTATTAAACATTGAAATACGTATTGAGAAAAGGACAGAAGAAAACGCTATCTTTTCAATATACTTTTGAATGAGAGTGATAAGTAATAATTGCCTTATCTAATTTCTTATCATGGTATTAATGCCAAGTTTGTAATGTATACACACTATCATCATATGTATACACAGTAATCATGAAAAGATAGCGTTTTCTTCTGTCCTTTTCTCAATACGTATTTCAATGTTTATAACCGTAAAATAGTACATGAAAATTCAAATTTTTACAAACTTCAAAACGCTACAGAATATTTACTACTGAATATTAATAAGATATTTTTTTACTAAAATTTTTCTTAAATTCTACTCTACAAAATAGCTATCTTAGATTTTTTTTTTACATTTTATTTAAAATTTAAAAATAATTAATATTTTTAATAAAATGTAAAAAAATTAATTATTGAGATATAGCTATAGACCTAACGTATAACTATTATTTAAAAAAAAAATCAACTAAAAATATTAACTGGATCAAAAGTTATTTAAGTTGTCAGTGAGTGGTGGGCCATCCTGTATACGATATAAAAAATATACAAAACAATTTTCAATATTTTATTGTTTTGATGTTTCATTTGATTAATTTTCATATTTGGTAAATATAAATATATCAACGAAAGGAGCGTTGCTAAAGATGACATTAAATATTATAGAAAAACAAATGGATCATTAACAAAATGACACGAGTAGGTTAAAAATGTGTTAAATTCCATAATTCATAATTGTTTGTTATTATAATTATTTTCTCAGTGTGACCTTGATATAATATTTTTCTTAAATATCAAGCATTTAATAACTACTTACAAGTATTGATTCTTGAATTCTAACGAATTACCTAAGTTTATGTTATCAATATTCTTATTTTATAAACAAAAAATCATTTAGTAAGTATAGTTACTTACTAATTTAACTATGTGTCGATTTTCATCGGTTTCAACTGGATGACAGACATTGTCAACAGCGGCTTGAAATGCACCAGGAATAAATAACTGAAAATTGAATATGCATCAAATATATATTTATATATTTAGTTATATTCTTAAGATAATTAATAAATAATCTATTATATTGGTTTGAAATTTATGTAATAATGTTCCATTTTACAAAAATGATTGTAAATTAATTAATTAGTCATTTTATTAAACAACTAATATTATTTCATTAAATCAAACAATATTTCTTAATGTAAATAATAATATTTCAGTAACTTTCCTGGAAATTGATAAATTTGTGTAGGTAAGTAATATTAGCTTAATGGTGTAATTTATTAATATTATGTTGACAATGCAGTTAAAATTTAAAATAGCTCGAATAACGATTATATACTTTATATAATTTTTAATTTTAATTACTTCAGATATTTTCACCTCATGAAAAACATAAATGTATAGTTGCGAAATCAAATGGATAATATTTATTATTTTAAAATAAAAAAAAAATTGTTTAACTTTTATTAAAACTATAGGTAGCCAAACTGTTGGCTAATAGCTCCAATAACTCATTTTTGTTAAAATTGTGACTTATGTTTTTTTACACACGAGTATTAAATCTCAATATATCAATAGTTTTTTTTATAAAGGATGAGTAAATATTAACATGTAAAAAGAAAATGGTGCATTGTTTTTTTTATATGTCTCAAGATGTATAAAATTGAATTATAGGAACTTATATCTGAATATGTTCAGATTTTTAGTAGGGGGTGTTTTTTGTTGTGCCTGACATTACTAATTCTTAGTTTCTATTAGACCATTTATGCCCATGATTATTCAAATGAACATAAATTGTATCTAGTTGATGATATTGGTTTTAATACTAAAAAATATTTTCTATCTCAATCTTATAATAGAACAAAATCTCCCTAAAATTAATATTTTTTAAATTCACGGTTTAAACATTTTTTTAATTATTTTCTTAAATTTCTTTTTTTTATTACAATAAATTATGTTTTTATAATTATTTTCAGAGATTAAATAAAATTAAAACTATATTAAAAAATAGTTTTAATTTTGTTTAATTAATTAGCCACAAGTGATCAATTTTCATTATATCTTTACAGATATTCTTTCATTGAATACGATTTAATTATTCAAAAAATAAAAATAGAATTGAAAATTTTTGTTTTTTTTTTTTTAAATTCATTAACTATAATTAATTTTTAGTGTTCATTCCTTTAATCTAATAAGGGTGTTAACATTAGTTTTTCAAATGGAAAAATACACAATAATTATGTAATAAATTAAGTTAGTTAATTATTAACTAACTTATTTATTGCATTATGATCTAGAAAATTGCTGATTAATAACAACTTTAGAAACATAGTTATTTCTAGGTATAAAAGTTTTTATAATTTCAGAAGTACTAGTTCAAAAGTTGCTTCGACTAGTCATTTTTGTTATTAGATTATTATAAAATAAAAAACTAGATAATTAGGTATGTACGTTCTCATTAAAAAAAAATGAGGTACCTACTCTTATAAGATATAAGAAATTAAATAAGAAAATATTTCGTGATTAATAAATTGAGAAAATCATGTCACTAAAAGAAACAAACGAAAAAATTCTCATTCTTAATATTATTATTCGATTAATTAAGTGACTTACGAAAAAAGTATCACCCAGCATAATTAGATATTATTAGAGAGTTTAAATTCCTAAAACTACAATTTAAAACTAACACATTAAATAGTTATGGACTTACAGCGGATATCATATATCCGTTGTATAGAGTCTGAAAAAGATTGTATGCCATCATAGCGTATTTTAAATTGTGAGCTTCTCGTTTTTTCATCATTTGAGGTCCAATTTTCAGCACAAACAATAAATAAATCACTAGTAAAGATAAAATAGGCCATGGCGTTTTCATCAATATCCATGAGTCAGCTTCTTCATCTATAAGAAAAATTAATAAAAATAACACTATTATTATTAAACAAATTGATTTGTATTTTCAACATGTACTCGTACCTATTTATATTATTTTTGTTGTTTTGTTAACCAAAATTAAAAGAATATCACTTTTTTAAATTAAAAAATAAGAATCGTCTTCCTATTCCAATTATTTAATATATTTTAGGTAGTTCTTTTTTATTTAGATAGCCGCATTTCCCTCAAGGTAGGAATAATGTTTTTAAAGAAGTTTATTCATTATATTATTTATAATATTTTAGTAACAGTGCATCTTACTTAAATTATATTATGCATATTAGTAATTCATAACAATGCACACAATATTTTAATTATTAAAAAAATAATTAATAATTATCTTATAACGGATACTTGAATTGGGGTCATTTAAAATTTTTGTGCATCCAATTGAAAAAAGTGATTGATTATAATCTTTGAGTTGTTGTTGATTTAATTTAATTTTGCATTAATAAATATAAATATTTTTAATATATTCAATATAATTATTCATTTTAAATACTTTATGTCCAATAAAGTTTTTAAAAATATATTCGTGTGAAATTATAGTAATATAAAATCATTTCTTAAATTATTCAATTAATATTAAGATATTATTGATCAAATATAAAACAGCAAAAAATATAATTTTATGTATAAATTTATTATTTACCAAATTTTATTTCTTGATTCAAAAGTGTTAAAAATTTTTCTTGGGCATTACTTATTAAATTGCTATAACTTTTGTGAGTTACATTGGCCATTTCTTAGTTTATTTTTGAATCTATTCTAAAAAAAAAAAAAAAAAACCAATAAGCATTATACGTTTATATTACTTTACAGTTATATAAACTTCCTGTTTTCAATAAAAGTAAAGAATTTTTTTTATTCTAAAAGTAAAAATAAAACGGATTGAAATGAATATATATATTTTTTTATTTCATGTAAACATTTTTATAAAATTCATACGTAATGAAGTTCACTATAATATTTTTGTAGGCATCAATAAGGACTTTATTATAAGTAAAATAATACGCAATATTTAAATTAATATGAATTAAAACTTTAAGATAATTGTACTAATATAAAAGTACTTGATTATTGATTTCCTAAAGATCACTTGATATTAGTAATTATAATTACTAATAATTATTAGGGTATGAGTTTATAAAATTTGATTGAGTTCGTTTAATAAAAACAAAGTTCTTGCGAATTTACTGTAAGCATATATTATAGCATAGAAATATTTTCAGATGGAAATAAATTCTTTATGCTCTTTTTATAACTATACCTCTAGTAATATTACTTAGTTTACAGTAAAATAAATTAAAATTGTATTGATAATTGATGTATGCAGAATAATGAAATTTATAAATGTGTACAAATATTTAGTAATCATGATTTTCAAAATGGTGACATATTTTTTTATTAAAGTGTTAGCAAATCAAATATGAAAAAGATAGAATTATGATATTATAACGTCGTATTTTTGTCAGTTTACACGTATATGTGTAGTATAGAATAGAAATTCATTGAACTATTTATTTTAAAAAAAGGCCTTTTAACAATTAGTTGAAAAAAACGTATTCAACTTTTATTCTATACCACAAATATATTATAATTATTGAATTATCTCTTTAATAATTAATAAAAAGTAATCTTGTAAGATTTTCGGAAATTTAAAACCGTTGAAATTTTTGAGAAATTTCTTCAAAAAAATCTCTAAATTTAGTTTTAAATAACTGTAAATGACTTTCAAACATATATCATTAGATATTTCTCAAACTCTCTTCAACTATGTATAAAAACGTTAAAAACTTAATAATAGTCATAAACCCGTACATTCTAACAGTCTATTGTTTATAAAATAGTAATTTTTCGAAATACTAGTCGAACAGTTGGATTAGACATTTTTAAAATTCGATCTTCTAATTTGTAAGCTAGTTAAATATGTATGTATCATTAAAAAAAATTTAGTTTACCCACTTAAAAGATATATGGGTTTTCTCTTATAAAAATATTTCCAGTATAATATATATTGTAACGTTACATTGTTATGAAATTGCTACTAAAATGAGATGAAAAGAATTAAAAAATATCTATTTCATTCAATTGTGATAAAAATATATTAAATTATGCGTATAAAAGTTATTTCATGATTTAGTTGATATTTTTTTATTTTCAAACTGAGTACCAATCGAAATTTGCAAAATAATTTGACTTTTTCTACATAATTAGTTGAATAACCATGTGAGGTAGTGTCATACGCTAAATATAATTATACCACTATATTAAGCAATAGAAAACACAAGATTTTTATTATTTTATCTCATAAAAAATTGCACTTAAAAAGGTCTAATAAAATTTAAATTGAAGTTTTTACAAATTTTTAAGATTTACATAATTATTCTTATATTTGTATTTTTACTAATTATTTGTGATGTAAAAACAAATTAATTATATTTTGAATTTTTGTAAAATTATCTATTTTGGTAATAGTTTCATAATTATGAAATTTATTTAAAATTAGTTATATTGGAGGTTCGTTATTTGTTTCTAAAAAACGCTTGTTAAAAATGTCTACAAGAATGGTTATATTTGATGGGTAAGATTAAAAAAATAAGGATCAGAAATGTACTTAAAACTAAAAAACCAAAAAAATATTTTTGATATTACTTTTATTTGTGAATAATTCATTGGATTGGGATAGATAAATCACCTATAATATAAACTACATAATATAATTATTTATTTTATGTATATTTATTTTCTATTTTATAAAAAGTATCCTGTAAAATAGAAAAATATGACTAAACAATATTAATATGTTGTTTTTATATTACATTATTACATAGGTAATTCGTCTATCTCAACCCACAAAATTAATTACAAAATAAAAGCAATATTCTTAATTGAACGTATTTTCAATTAAATACCAATAAGTACATAACTATTATGTCAAAGTTAGAATAAAATTGTATATTACCTCTAAAATTAGAGGTGCTAGATCGTGATAAGGTCCCTTAATTTTGTCAATGGAATCGATTTTAAGTAACTATTTTTTTAGTAAATACATTAATAAAGCATTATTAATTAAAAACACATAATTTTTACATGTTTTATTAATTTTAACAACATAATTCAATATATATTTCAAGGATTTTTATGAAATGCATACAATTTAAAACTTTTTAGATATATAAAAATCCGGACTTTAATTAAGACAATCGTTAAAATTATTATCAATAAATTATTTATTTAATTACAAATTTTATACATTTATTTCATTCAGTTTTAATTTTTAAAGAAATTTCCGATGGTCGAAGAAATTTTAATTTAAGAAATTTCTAACTTACAACACTAGTAAAATGAAAAAAAAAATTATAATTAAATTTATTGAAATTAAACATTTATAAAAAAAAATGAATTAATTTAATAGAAACTATTAAAATTGTTTTAAATCATCAAATATAAAAATAAAATAATTTGCATGGAAAAAACATGTTGGTTTTAATTTGCAATTGATTCTAAAACAGTTAATATTGAGAAAAAATGTAATAGATAAAATATTATGGTTTTATGAAAAATAAATATTTTTGAAACTATAAAAATTTTTTTCATAAAATATTGTTTAATAGTTCATATATGTAAAAATAGTTAAAAGAAAAAATTAGTTTAACTTACCTAAATCAGTATAAATTATCATTTGTTATATTAAATAAAAATAAATTTATTATAATACATCAAAATTATTAAATATTAAAAATTGAAACCATGTAGGAATAATATAAGATGACTATAGTTGTTATGAAGCTACTAATATTTGACTACAGTCGAGTAATACCAAATAATTTCGCCGTTTTGATATTATATTTAAGGAAATTATATTCCAAAGAATGTAATTAAGTGTCTTTTACAGAGGGGATATCTAACCCATCAACGATATAAACAATTAACCCACACTTGACCAGGAAACCATGAAGTACATTGGTAAATGTAGACTATATTCACAAATCATATTTTTTTATGCTGTTATAAAATAGCATGGCAATATTTTTTTAATTGTAACATAGTGATAGGTATTATAATTGATCGGTACTTAAGTTTCACTAAAGTCAGTAAATTTTTAGCTTAAATTTTTATGTAGGCTTGGTGAATTTTAATAAGGCCATTTATTTTATATTTAAATTGTCGATATAAAATTGTATATTCAATAAATTTTAACTAAAAATCTATTCAAGGTGCAACTATAGATATTATTATTTTAATTTGTAACGTAATAAAATTGGTTGTTCAAGCGGGATTATTCTTGATAATGAGTCGAACGCTCACTTAAATTAATTTGTTTGATATTTTTAATTCTGAGATTAATGTAATAAATATTAAATTTAACAAGAATAAATAAAATGTATAAAATATTTGTTCCTTAATTTTATTTATAATTAAAACTTAAATGAAATTATTTAAATACAAATGTAACCTTGAGCGCGTCGCTGATGGTTCAGCGGTGGAACGTACACTGAATAGATTTATACTACAAAACACATTGCTGACCAGATAAACAAAGATGAAAATACAATATTATATTGTGACTCACGCTAACAAAAATTATGATGTTTATAAAGTTCACAGGTAACTATATTCAAAAAGGAAGTATATCTGTAAATTCATTGTTACATATATAGATCTCTTTAGCAGATTAATAAATTGTTCCTACCACCAGTTCTCTTATCCTAAATACCACATCTGTCAACGGTCAATCAATGCCAATTGTCACATTTTTACTACCTTCTCACAAGTCTTATCAAGCCGCCTTGGAAAACGGTATGGTTATGTTTGAAAAAATCCATATCATCATCAATAACATTTTTAAAGACGGCTGCTACGTGTCATAATATGCCCAATGCTTTGCATTACGCATCTTACATTTATCAATATAAAATTTATAATCTATATTTAATATCGATTGTATACAAACAAATAATTTATTTATCTGTCATAACATATACACTGTTGTACGCTAACTATTATATATGCATATGTTAAATTTATTATTGTATACTATGCATCTTATCTTAAAAATAATTATCATCTTATGTTCAAATTTTATACAATAAACAGAAAATCACTAAAAGCGCTGACGGCAACATCCCACTATGGGGGTAATTAAAAATAATTTAAAAAGGATCAGTTCTGCTTGCACAACAATGAGCGAGCGACTCTTCTGCACTTTTGAAGCTTTGAATTCAATATAGAATTCAGAATTCTTTTGTCCAGTCTATTCTTCTTAAACTAGCCGCGACCTCATGTGTTGTCGTCGGTACATTTTAAGACGATATTGAATATAATTATTTTTTTCGTCGAGACTTTATTTATTTATATAAAAGAAATATTATAAAATTTTACGCAAATCTCGACGAACTTAACACAAACTATCTAAAAAGGTAAGTAAATCATACTAACTAAATTATTTAGAGTTAATAATCTGAGTAAAGAATGGTAAAATAATAGATTGATTTATAAATTATTAAATTTAATTTAGAAAACCAAGACCCCGGACTCTACAAGAATACCTCAGCGTTTAATACCTCTATGAGAGGAACTTAATTCATTTCTTATTATATCTACTTGTCTTTACTGTTTTGAATCCTTAGACTCTGAAACCCCGATAGAAACACGTTGCTCACGAATTGAACAAATTCCCAAAATATCATAATTTTAACCTTATTTTTGTATTACTACAACGAATCCATAATAGAGGAGTAAATAACGCTTTATTTGGCTAAATTATCACAATTATGATACTAAGCTCACAACTCATCATTACTTATTGGATATCTTATTTGTAATGTGATTTTCTTCTTATATATATTAATAAGGAGGGTATTTAATTTTATTTTGGTAAACAGGATTTAGAATTTTTTTCTCTAAATATCAAAGTGATGATCAACAAAAAAGTCCATATTTCTTAGAAGTTGCTAAAAAATATATTGATAACGCTGTTTTAAGGGGGGAAAAGGCACATATCCCCCTTAAATACGCTCCTGGTTTACACAATAATTATTGATATTCAAATTATAATAATTGTATGAGTATTATAGAATAATTACAAAAAAATTCGGCAAGTTATTATTCCTGGGAATATGTAAAAAATACAATTTTGTTTAGAATATTAGTTATTATATAGTTGTCATAGATGGATTCCAATTTTTACGATAAGCTCATAGATTTATACATCATATATGAGATAAATAAAATTATTAATACTGTACTATTCTGATAATGAATGTATAATTATATACTTATAACTGTCCTAAAATGTATGTATAACTTATCAAATAAAAATACCTTTACCTTAATAAAATATACAAAATATATTGCTATACGCAAGTGCAAAATCATATTCTAATATAAAATCTTTGTGGACATGAAAACAAATAAATTATAAGTGAAATAATTATATTTGATCAGAAAGCTAATTATAAGTAAGTTAATTATATGTTCAAACAAAAGACATATATAACAATAAATTTGATTAAAAATATCATCAAATTTTGTATTATAAATATATTTGAAAGAAATTGACAGAGAGTATCTGGTTACTACATAAACTAAATATAATGTATAAAAATAACAAACATAATATCAAAACAAAAAGATAATAATATTATTAACTAGCGCAAGCTAATTTAATTAAAATAGGAAATTTACCTAAGGGTCAGAGATATTGGACTAATTCTATTACTACGTTGGAAGGTATTGCTAGAAATAAAAATAGTTTAGGCAAGACTAAAATCAATTTAATAATAGGCCGTAAAACAATTATACATATATTTTACATAGTTTCAAAAAATTTTAATATTTAGTCTCGTGGTATCTTTGGATACGATTTTCTTAACGATTTTGTTAAATTTATTGATTTAAATAAAAAATAATTAAAATTCTATTTCCATGATAGAATTAACATAATAGACCTTTCTCTTACAAGTAATTTACTCGATTAAAGGTTGTCAGAATCTATCATTAGTGTGAAAATGACCCATACTAATGATCCTACTGGAATTATAAATGATCCAATAATAATTAATGAGAATGTTTTTATTGGAAGTTTTATAATACAAATTCATGATAATTAAATCTACCAATTTAAACACTCAGAAAAAGATATTACAATTTCTATAAATTATATTAAATTTGACACTTTATCCGAAAACCTCGAATTGATAAATAATAATAATTATAATAATGATATTTCTTTGGATAATAATAAATTAATGCTTTTAGATCAAAATTTAAGTTTAAAACATTTAAACAATGATCAATAGTCGTTTATTAAAGATTTATGTAATAACATTAATGATATATTTTTTTTATCCTATGGTAAAATATGTTACACAAATCAAATTGTACATAAAATAACTACTTCTAATACTCACCCAAAAAATATAAAGTAGTATAGATACCTCATGTGTCATAAAGAGGAACTTGAAAAACAATTAATAATTCTTTTAGAACAAGGTATCCTTAAAAAATCTAATAGTCCATGGACTCGCTTTTATGGGCGGTATCAAAAAAATGCGATGTGTCTGGTAAAAATTGTTTAGTAGTACTAGGCATAATAATAATACTACGGCACTAGTATTGAATTTACTCAATACCTACAAAAAAGAATTAACTAATAAAGTAATACTTATTAAAGGCATTATGCAATTTTTTTTAGCCATAGATGTGTTAAGTAGGAAAATGATACATGATTAATGTATCAGTAAAAATATATAAAGTTATATTTGTGAATAATAAAAATCACGTCATTTAGAATGCTAGATACGAAAATAATTTTCTGAAATTTTTCAAAAATGAAAGTGATTTGTTTTTATAACTAGTTTAGAAATAAAAACCCAGCACAGGGGGGTCGCGGGACAGTGGCGACGTGGCATAGTTGGATCAAGTATAATGATATCTGACAGTGATTAAAATCACTATAAAAAAAACGCTTCGATGCAAATCTTTAGATAATGTTTAATTTTAAAAAATTGGTGGATTATTCAAAAAGCTACATGATCTGTTGGTTCCATATTAATATCCTGATTAAGATAAAGTATGTCGAATGAAAAAGGGATTATTAAAAAATATTATTTGTCATAAAAAAATTGTATTGATCCATACACTTTTCAAAAAGTTATAACATTATAAAGTTAAAAATATAAAAAAGAATTTTTTTACAAAAATCGTATTTTTTTTATTAACTTTGANAATTTTTTTACAAAAATCGTATTTTTTTTATTAACTTTGATGTCTGTTTTCACCATGAAGATAAAATAAAGTCCAAAATTTTTTTTTTACCGTAATAAAGTATATTAAATTAGCTTTAATTTAAGATATATATAAAAGTGTCAGACTTTCCGGATCACTTTCAAAAGTTAAGTTGAAAAAGTTCTACTTTATAAATGAATTTTTTAGATTTGAAACCCCCCGTATATAGGGAAATAGTCTGATTTAAAAAAAAAGTATGTCGAATGAAAGACGTGTATAAATACTACTTGTCATGAAAAAATTGTATTGATCCATACATTTTTTAAAAAGTTATAGCATTTTAAAATAAAAAATTTTAAATATAAAATCGAGAATTTTCACACAAAAATAGCATTTGGTAGCTATTTTCACCACGAAGACAAGTCCAGAGGTCAAATTTTTTTTTCCATAATAAAGAACATTCCATTAACTTTAATTTAAGATATATATAAAAGTGTCAGACCTTCCGGAACACTTTCAAAAGTCAAGTTGAAAAAGTAAATTTTTTGTGAAAAAGTTGTAATTTTAAATCCTTCCTTGTGGGCAGATAAAGG